CCCCCCCTGCCCGGCCCACCAGCAGCTCCCGCGCTTCCTCGCTCTCCGCTGCCTCGGACGGCCCGAACGTTCCGCTGAGAGCCCCGATCCGGCTCGGCCCGCCCGTTCCTGCCCTGCCGCCACCCACCCCTTCCCAGCTCCCGGCCGCTCAGCCCCCGCCGCCCTGCAGCCTTCCTGGCGCGGCATCTCCCTGCAGCCCGGGAGGACGCAGCCCCTGCAGAACATCTGGAAATCTCTTACTCGTGGTCATCGCTACTTTTCTCTCTTCTCACTGACTGTCCGCTTCAGTTTTCCTCGGATACTTCTTTCCCCCCACTGCCCTGACTCATCTCTATCCCGCCTGTCTTTTCTCAGCCTCTACCTCCCAAACTGCTTTTGATCCTGGACAATCTCCCCCACATCAGTAATACCGGGATTCCCATTTTATCTGTATCCTCATGTCCCTTCACTACTCTCTGATGGCTTTTTTCCTGCCTCAAAAAGAACAACTTCCAAAGTCTTTTTAGATGCTTGTTCTCATTTTGTGTTTGTTCTTGTTTTGTTTTTTTACCATCCCAAAATCTAATAATTTTCTTGTCCCTTTAGTATTTGTGTTCTTTCTTTGAAAGTCTTTTGTAGTGATTCAGTGTCATTCCACCCCTTCATGGTGGATCTTATTTGTCTGTTGTTGTCTCTTTCCAGGTTCTCCCAGTCCACACAAACTCCCCTGTGAATGCTCTTTGTGGTGGTGAATCACAGATCTGCTTCTCTTCTGTGTCCTTCCTGGTAAGGCTGCTGTCTGCCAATCAGATCAGGTCTATTATGGTATATCAAGCTTTTCCCACCTTCCTTGATTGTGGGGTGCTGACTATTGTTCTTCAAACAGTAGGTCATGGTCTAGGTGTTATATCTGAGCCTATTTATTTGAACTGTGTCCAAATCTTGCCTTTGCCTTTTGCACAACAGCAGTTCTAGCCTGTCTTCTCAGTCTCTTTCAGGACACTTCCAGCTGGTGTTGAGTGCTGGTACAACCTCCTTCTGGACATGGCAAAAAGTTCTCAAGGGGATGAGCATCATATAAAATGATACAGCCAAAGCCATCTTCTCATTTTCTTTCTCTGACTAATTACACCCTTTCTTGTGTTTGGTCCACACTTCAAGTCTGGGAGTCTGGTTCACTCCATTGACTGTAGGCTTCTACCACAGGCACCAAATCCATCCTGTGACTTCTCCACAGCCAAAGGAGGGAGGGAGTCACCTGTGGAGACAGATAAGACCAACTAAGATGAGAATTACTATACACAAGTAGCTGCCTTTTACCCTTTCTCTTATGCTTGTTACAGCAGCACTTTGGGGGGTGGCTGAGTTCAGTTAGCAGACTGCTATGATCTCCCAACTCTTTCTATTTCTTTGTTCTGCTGGGCTGTTTTCCTTTGTGCAGACTCAAGAGGCCTGTGGTATAAGGACAGTTACAAATTTTGACAATCATAAAAGCTAGGATATTTTTAAAATAGAAGTTAAAGGTATAGATAAACATCTAGCTCACATCATTGTCCTTCCTAGCAGCTCTTCCAGGTCTGGGAATGTAATTAGTTGTTTGGCTTTTTCCTCCAAGACCTGAAATCTGGGTAAGTGAGACCCATATTTTTTTCTGCTGTGTGCAGCAAGCATGTGCCTAAGGAGTTAATGATTGCTGTGGCTGATTTAGAGGTAGTGTATAATCAGCTGTTTCTGCCTTGAGCTAGTAGTTTGCTCTAATGGCTGACTTTGCCCTAATAGCTGACTTTGCTGTTGCAAGGCTAACTGAAATACACTTAATTTGTAAAGGGGTTCTTAAACTTATATTCAAACAAAACTTTTTGTGACTGACTCTGTAGCCATAGAGAGCCTGATGCTGCAGAACTTGCTGCTGTTGGTTCCTATTTTGCTGCTAAGCCTGCTCCCCTCCAGAAGGAGAAACACATGCCCAGAATTAATTTGAGACCAGGTCACAGCTGAGGTTGAAAGTCCACCATAGCCAATGCTGGAAAAGTAAATATTAAGGTAGGGAAGACCTGAGGAGGCAGTTAATATGCTCAGAAAAGCTCAGCTTCTTTCAAAAACAAATTATTACTCCAGGCTTACAAAGGACAGAAAAATCACCTGACCTGTCCCTTGAACTGGATTCAGCATGGGATGTGTTTTTCTTACACCCTGTTGTAAGCTTGTAGACTAGCATATCTAATGCTCTGAGCCAGTTGTAGGGCTGGCAGACATTATCTTCCCAAGCACAGAAGAAAATTAACAATCTTGAAGGTGTTAGTCCTTTTTATGGCAGAACTACAATTCTACTGTTGTCTATGTTTTCTTGATTTAAAGGGAAAAATATGTAACATGTTGAAAACAGCTTGTTCTAATCATTAAACTCTTACCCTTGTTGACAGATCAGTTGCTCCTACAGTGTGGTATCTTGTAATTTCTTACCTGAAGTAATCAGCACCAATTAGGAAATGGCCAAAGTCGAAAGGTTTGCTTTTCATGTTCCAAGTCTGGAGGAGCTTGCTGGGGGTAAGTCATGCAGTGTGTAACTTTTTATGAACTTATAATGTGCTCTTCAAACCAACCTTAAAGCTCTTATCAAAACGTTTCTGAAGCTAGGACATGCAGAATGTTCCTGCTCTCGGCACACTAAGATGTAAAAATAAAGGCACTATTTTTCTAGATGCTGTTATTTTCTTAAAGCAAACAATGACTCCTCACCCAAACCCCAGTGATACTTAAGCATACCAATAGGCTTCCATCACTTTAAAACTGTCTGCTGCCTTTTCAGATTTGTACAGGGGTTGTGAAAGTCTGACAATTACAGACTCACATTTGGAATCACCTGTCCTTCTCTACCCTCCAGTATTTCTTTATTTTTCAGAACTAATAAAAAAACCAGCTGACAAATACAGCATGGCAGGTGCTCTTCCTTGAACCTAGTGGGCTCCTCTTTTGGGGATTGCCTAAAAACCAGAAACCAGGCTGCAGAAAACATTTTATTTAGTTTGTTTCTTTCCAGAGCCTTCCTAAAATCTGCTCAGAGTAACAGAATGGCTGAGATTGGAAGGAACCTAAAGGTTGTTGTTTTTTTCTTTCAGAGAGGTCCTCAAGTTAGTCTGCCACTCTCCCAAGTCTCTGGCAGTGTGACATTTCCATGCTTTGAAAACTGTGGGCCCAGCAGTGGTGGGTGGTTCTCAATGCTTTTCTTGCCCAGTAGCTGTCAGGCTGGGCCAAAAGCCAGGGCTGCTATAGACTTGTGGGCTCTGCAGAGAACAGCGTGTACTTGCAGCAGAATAGGTTAAAACAGTAACAGAAAAAAAGGAGTCACAAAGCGGAGTTTTCCTTTCTCCTCCCTTGTCTGTCCTGAGGACCTCTTGCAAGCTATGAATTTTGGTGTTGTTCAGCTCTTCAGGATAATTTGAGGAGTGGCCTTTTATGGACTTTTACACTTACCAGAAGATATCGAGATGTATTTAGAAAACTGCTCCTGAGAAGTAAGGTACTGCTGAAATTCTGACTGGAGGAAAGAAAGGCATAGGAAAGTCTTCTGAGAAAATAGGGAACTGCCTGATTTGAGATCACGGATGGGATTTTCTATTCTTGTTGGAGATATCTGTGAAAGCAGACCCCCAAGCATGGAAGAACTTAAACCTTTTTGAAGCAGTGTATGTGAAGGCAATCCCACACTCAATTAAGTTTTGAAAGTTGTTTCCAAACAGTACACTTGTCTAAGTCAGAATCCTTCCTGTTGTTTGAGTGACTTTTCAGGTTTTGAGCCTAAAAACATTGGTATGAAGCAAAACCAAAAGTTTTTATTTTGGGTTGTTCATTAACTTTAGCACCATTCATTATTTGCCTTTAATGACAGTGCCACTTGACAGAAAATCTCCACATGAACATAAACATGACAGGCAATATGCTGTGATAGTTCCCAGACAGCAGAGACAGTTTGAGATTATAATCAAGCTATTGCAAACAGTCTAGTTAATATATGTAAAGAACTGCTTACCGCTTCAGTTAAAACTAACTTCATGCTTTGCTCTTGCACGATATTTGAATGTGAACATAATTGTCTGCTCTTGTGAAGCAAAATCACTGCTGAAGGTGCTGTAAGTTTACCCATGTTACTCCATATTGTGCTGCTTCTAGTGCTACCAGGAGCAGACAGTTACTGTATTTCAGTTGAATGATTTTTAGAATTCTTAAAATGAATTAATCTGGTAGCTAACAGTTACCTGAGGAAACTTTTGCTCTTCTCTGAAGCTCTGACTCAGGAATAAGTGCCTACAGACAGTAATATTTAAATCACTGGAGTGACTTAGGGTAAGCATAAGTACTTTAATGTATCTTGCAGAAATATACGCCTAAACAGATATATTTGTTGTTGTTAGTAACTTAGAATCATAGAATCATCAAGGTTGGAAAAGACTTTCAAGATCATCAAGTCCAACCGTCTGCCCTAGAACCTCCAACTACTAAACCATCTTCTGAAACACCACGTCTACCCATTTTTTTAACACCTCCAGGGATGGTGCCTCCACCACCTCCCTGGGAAGCCTGCTAACAGTTACCTGAGGAAACTTTTGCTCTTCTCTGAAGCTCTGACTCAGGAATAAGTGCCTACAGACAGTAATATTTAAATCACTGGAGTGACTTAGGGTAAGCATAAGTACTTTAATGTATCTTGCAGAAATATACGCCTAAACAGATATATTTGTTGTTGTTAGTAACTTAGAATCATAGAATCATCAAGGTTGGAAAAGACTTTCAAGATCATCAAGTCCAACCGTCTGCCCTAGAACCTCCAACTACTAAACCATCTTCTGAAACACCACGTCTACCCATTTTTTTAACACCTCCAGGGATGGTGCCCCCTCCCCCTCCCTGTAAAGCCTGTTCCAATGCCTCACCACTTTCTGTGAATAGTTTTTTCATAATATCCAATCTGAACCTCCCCTGGTGCAGCTTGACTCCATTTCCTCTTGTCCTGTTGCTGGTAATTAGGGAGAAGAGTCCAACACCTACCTCACCACAACCTCCTCTCAGGTAGTGGTAGAGAGCAAAGAGTTCTCCCCTCTGCCTCCTCCTCTCCAGGCTGAACAGCCCCAGCTCCTTCAACCTCTCCTCCTAAGACCTGTTCTCCAGACCCCTCATCAGCCTAGTTGCCCTTCTCTGCACCCTCTCCAGCACCTCAGTGTCCTTGCTATACTGTGATGCCCCAAACTGCACACAGTGCTTGAGGTGCTGCCTCACCAAGGCTGAGTAGAGGGGCAGGATCACCTCCCTGGTCCTGCTGGTCACCCTAATCCTGATGCAGACCAGGATGGTGTTGTCCTTGGCTACCTGGACACACTGCTGGATCATGTTCAGCTGCTGTCAATCCGCACCCCAGGTCCCTCTCTGCTGGGCAGCTCTCCAGCCACTTCTCCCCAAGCCTGTAGCACTGCTGCAGGTTGTTGTGGCACATCCAAGCCCTGAGCAGCCAGCTTCTCTAGGAGAGTGCTGTGGGAAACCTTGTCAAAGGCCTTGACAACATCCACAGGCCTTCCCTTGCCCAAGAAGCAGGTCACCCTGTCATAGAAGGAGATGAGGTTAGTCAAACAGGACCTGCCCTTCATGAACCCATGATGCCTGGGCCTGATCATGGGTTGTTCTGCATGCACCACATAACAGTACTAGAATGATCTTCTCCATCAGCTTCCCCTGTACTGAAGTCAGACTAACAGGCCTGCAATTCCCCAGATCATCCTTCCGTTCCTCTTTATATGTGGGGGTTACACTGGCTGATTTCCATCTGCGGGTACCTTCCCGGTCAGCCAGGACTGCTAATAAATGATGGAAAGTGGCTTGGTGAGCACCTTGCCAGCTCTTTCAATGCTCTTGGGTGCATCTCATCCAGCCCCATAGATTTGTGCTATGAGGTGTAGCAGGTCATTTACCATCTCCTGGGTTGTGGGGGATCGTTCTGCTTCTGGACCCTGTCCCCTAGCTTAGGGAGCTGGATTCCCTCAACATAACTGGTCCTGTTAGGAAAAACTGAGGTGAATAAATCATTAAGCAGCTCAGCCTTTTCCTCATTGTTCATCACCATGTTTCCTGCACTAATAGGGGATGGAGAGTCTCCCTGGTCTTTATTTGTTATATTTATAGAACTTGTCAAACTCCTGGTAATTTTTCTTTGTCAGTAACTTTACCATTATTCTTTATTACAGTTCTGCAGAAAGGGCTTAAAGAAAACTTTGCTGATGCTCAAGTCTCTGTTGTAGACTGTCCTGATCTGACTCAGGAGCCCTTCAACTTTCCTGCTAAAGGTAACCTAGCATTACTGCTTTCCGCTAAGATTTCTCTGTTTCTTTCTACCTGATCCTACTTGGTTTTGATGTTCTAAAGATTCTGGAAGAGCTTAAATTGTTTTTCAGGTAAAGTATATGCATGAGAGAAGAGCTACATTTTATTCCTAGGTTTGCTTCTTAGCTAATGTAGGAAAAAGGACAAGTCATTACCAAATACTTGTCCTAATTTCTTTTCTTAACACATTATTGCAATACTCACTTATTTCATAAGCTTTATTTAGTATACTGAGAAGTTTTTGAAATAAAGTTATTATCTTCCAGAAGGAGAAATTTTTAGAACCATGCCAGTCACTATCTGAACCTAAGAAACTGGACTTCCATTAATTTTTTAATTCCTGCCATTCATGCGTGTTGGTGAACTGAAACAGTCTTATTGTGAGTGGGATTAATCTTCTTTGACATTAGCTGTCTGGAAGACAGATGTATCATCTGTGCTACTCATCTGAGTTCCCTCTGTCATCAACACAGTGAGAGAAACACCCTGTGAAGGTGATTCTTCTGTTCTTAAAATTCATGTCCAAATGTGTAGGATCAATTGTTCTGAGTCTTGGGCATCCAGCTTTGCTGAAATTTTACAAGTGGAGTTGCACTGAAGGGTGCTCACTGTGTGGAGAGGGCATCTTACTGGAAAACTGGCAAATGGCAGCTGTTGCCCCCTGTAATTTAGTTATTTTTTTTTTTGTGAGAGTGAATATTTTACAATAGACTGCCTAGCATTAAATCTTACTGTGAAATATTTTACAGGTTACTGTCCTTGGACTTCTTAACAGTGCAACACTTCATCTAAGCTTGCTAGGGAGACTGTTCTCAAAGGGTTTCAGAAGTTTGAGGAGCCAGTTCTTTGGTGGTTTAGATCAAACTGTTTGTTCATTTAAGAATCATAGAATGTTAGGGGTTGGAAGGAACCTGATGATCTGGAGACCATCAAGTCCAACTCCCCTGCCAGAAATTATTAGGAAAAAATATTTTACCAAGCTAACTGTCTGTATTCTTCCAGGAATCTGTGGAAAGCCCAGAATAGCAGATGTGGGAGGTGTTCCCTACCTCATACCTGTTGCACAGAAAGAAAAAGTGAGTTTTTGCTGCAGCTGTGGGGTTTAACAGATTTGTCAAAATAAAAGCAATATCTTGTTGAAATACAAACAAAACTAAGGACCAACAGATACTATAAGATTCCACTTGTGAAAGAGACTTTTCAGTGACTGATTCTGACTGTTAAACATAGACTTAACGTAAGGATATCTTACACGTTGTAGCAAAAATAACATGTTGTGGCTGATGGTTCATCTTATCCTGCCCTCAAATACAAGACAATTTTGGAAACATACCATCCGTGACAGCAGCCATGGAAGGAACTACTAAACAAGGGGCTTGTCTGCATGTTTCTGTATGTCTTGCTGCACACCTGTGGTTTCAAGCCATGCTTCTTTGTTAAAACTGGCTGTATTTGCATTTTCAGGCCAACACTGGATTCACACTACTGTCCTTTTCTAAGAATATCATGCCTCCTTTCTAACACATCACCCTATTCTATGTGATATTCCCTTTCAATTTTTATTTTACACAAATATAATTTTCATAAGAACAATAACTCAGTTTTGGGGTAAAATGGCAGAACATACAGACAGACTCTACCTTTCAGAACTACCAAATGCTGTGTTGTTCAGAAATTGTGTTCAACCTAATTATCCAAAATAGTAATGAGGACATTGTAAATTAAATGCATGCAGAGGTTACAGTGAACAGAATGACAATTCCAAATCAGAGCACCACACCAAAATCTAAGGATTATTTCTCTTTGGCAGGTTTATGATCTAAACACAGTTGCAAAAGACATAGAGCTGCCTGGAGCCTTCATTCTTGGAGCTGGAGCTGCTTCATCTAGGATTCTTGGAATAAATGCTGAGGTCAGTAAATAAGTGTGATGGTTCTCAATGAATTCATAATAGTAGAGCATCATAATAGTAGAGTAGTTTCATGCTGGGTATTTCCCATTTACAACAAAACATTTAATAAACAACTTTCATGCCAAAAAACCATAAAATACATTCGAAGGATTTCAGATGAGGGCCACCCAAAAAGCTGCATACTATTCAGATAATAAAGGTTAATTTTTAACTTGTAATTCTCCAGGAAGCATGTGATTGCTTTGAAGCATGCAAGAGACAAGATTTTTTGAAACTGTTTGACAAAGACCTGATCAGACGTTTTAATGACAAGATTCACAAATTCTTGTCAAAGTTACTGGTAAATACCTGTGAACTCCCTGTCTTTGCCTTCTTGGGTGGCTTTGTTTTACCACTGTAAATTTCAAAGATGCCACATACAAAATGGTCAACGTCAGGAGAGGCAGGAGATGACAACTGCTGCCTGTGGAGACTTTGTTTGGCCAGAGTCTTTTCAAGCATAAACCTCTGGTCTTGCTGTCTCCTTTTACCGCATTTATTGGCAAATGAGATAGTTCACCACAGCATTCAATTTGTGCCACTATCATAGTGTTCATTATGTTCCACTGAGAAAGTATTACACAGAATTCCAACACTTGCTTGTAGGCCTGAAATCTCAATGGTTAGACTTCTTTTTTTCCTCTTTATTTATTTTTTTAAAACACTAGCATTCATTATCAAATAACATTAAAATTAACTCTCGAGAAAGTAAAGCTGCTGTCTGGAGTTTTCACTTAGACTACAACATAATTTTTCTTACCAGTACAGACCTCATCTTGAGAGAGACAGTTGTGTGACAAAGGGGATTATTTCTTGGGTTCATGGTCCAAAGCTGGAATTGCATTTGACTTCTGTTCATTTGACTGACTCTTATATGTTCTTAGTGACAGACTTATTCTTACATGTTCTTTTTCTCAGCTTATCCCTATTGTTCAAACAAAGAATGAAAAAAAGCCTGCTGTAAATGGGAGCTACGTTGCTCAGATAAATCCTGCAGATAAAGGGTGCCTGCTTGAGAAATACAGCAGTAAATACACTGACTGTGAGTTTGGGCTGTTGGCCAACCTTTATGCCAGTGAGGGCAAACCTGGCAAGGTACGTACTTGGATCAAAGGGGACTTTGCTTGCAGAGCTTTGTGGCTGAAAGGGCAGTCATGTTTTGGTGTCCTATCAGTTTTATGTGATAATAATAAAGTAATCCTTCCATGAAAGAAATATCCAAACTTAAGGATGCAAAGAGAGGAAGAAATTGTGGAGACAAAAAAGCATTTGAATTTTTGAGGGATAAGTATTAGTTTACTAAAACTTGTCCATCATAAATAATCCGTCCAAATCCAGTCAAAACTAGCAATCATGGTTGTTCAATGTACTTGTGTAAATCAGCACTTGCCTAGTTTTTTGTAGAAGTGCTTCCCCCAGTACAGCTAGCATGCAGAGCTGTTGCCAAGGCGTCAGATACCTGACTACTGTGTGGAAAATGAGCAGCCTTCTCTTTTTCCAGAAGTTTCTTTAGAACAGAGTTGAAGCCAGCTGGTGGACAGAAAGAGTGTGCTCATGTGTGAGTAAATTACTTGCTGCCCAGCACCCTTCACAGGCAAAGCTAGTGTTGGACAGAAAGTCGGGAAGGAGAGTTGGTCAGGTCAGGAAAGATGGAAGTGGAGCAGCACTTGCAGGGAAACTCACATTTTCAGAAATTTTTGTTGGTTTATAAGCTTGGGAGAATTTCAGAGCAGCTTTCTCAGACCGTTGGAGATTGTTGCAGTGGGAGATGGCAGTGACAAACTAACTTTATTCTCCAGGTCATTGAAGTGAAAGCCAATGGAAGAACTGGGGAACTTAACTTTGTGTCTTGTCTGAGACAAATTTTAGAGAAACACTATGGAGAAAAGCCAGTTGGGATGGGTGGTACTTTTATCATTCAGAAGGGGAAGGCAAAGATTCATATTATGGTAAGTTCTCAATCCATAGAACTTTCTCCTCCCTCTGGAAACAAAAGTAAAAATCAGGGTGTAACATCTTAGTGCCTCGACTTTGTTTTGTATTTTTTTATGTGTGCATAAGCTGTTAGGCTAAGCAGTGTATTGAAGTGAGGAGTGACATTACAAAACTGATGTTACAAAACTAGTGATTCTGTATTACTTGGCCTTAATACCATCATCTTCTCTTTTGAAATCCTTAGACAACTAAAGAGTTGTAGAACTATGATAAAATTAATTGAAATTATATTAACTGAGATGAGACTTACCAGAAGCAATAGACTTTTTTAAAAAATAAGTGAATTTCTAAAATATATTAGGAGGAGAATTCTCACTTTGGTAGTTCTCCCTCCACTTGTGCAATCAAAGCAGCAATATTCTGGTCACTTTTCTTTCTGGCAGGAACACGGTAATGGGCACTGATGAGCTTCCTTTAGGCAAGAAGGAATGTGAACAGAGTAGTGGAGAGGGGAAATGTGAAGGAAAGCTGCTAGAGCAAAAGTATCTTAATACAAATGTTTTCCTTTCACTTACAAAGTTTTACTTTTGCTGTAGCCTCCAGAATTTTCTGCTTGCCCTCTGAACACAGATGAGGATGTGAATAACTGGCTGAAATTCTTTGAAATGAAGGCTCCACTGATTTGCCAGCCTGTAATAGTTTCCAGAGATCCAGTGAGTCACTTTTTCCTTTCCAAGTATAAACTGAAACTTGTAATGAATTCTGTCTTAGGTGTCATTTTCCTTTTAAGAACAGGAGTATGTATATGTTGTGTTCAACTCTTCCAGAGGTGATCTAACCAAAGAGAAGCTTCTCATTTCTGTCACTTGTTTGAATGAAGGCCAGGTCAATCTGTTCTGTAACCCAGTGGTTGTTCATAGGGGATTGAACCTGATGGTTCCATTCCAATTGCATGTTTGTGTCCCAAAACCAGCATCATAGTTTGCATTAACTGCTGGCCACACCAGGAAAAACCTCAAGAGCATGGAAGCTTGTTCAGCTGTGTGCTTTTGTAATTCACTGTCATAAGAACTGTCTCTGCTAATGCTGTGTTGAAACGTGAGGTCTGCGTCTCACTGACAAAGATTGCCCAGGGAGGTCGTGGCTGCCCCATCCCTGGAAGAGTTCAAGGCCAGGTTGGATGGGGCTCTAAGCAACCTGATCTAGAGGGAATTGTCCCTGCTGGAGCAGGGGGGATTGATCTAGATAAACTTTGAGGTCCCTTCCAACCCTAACCTTTCTATGCTTCTATTATTCTGTAGCTGCTAATGCAAATTAAAGTCTGCAAAGCCTCTTGCTAGAAATTTCTCTAGCATCTTCCACAAGGACTGAATTCAGCAGCAAACAATTCAGGATTAAAAAACAAAAATCTGGTTTCAAAGGCCATTAAGATGTTAATCATTAGGAAGACTATTTAAGAGTAACTAGGAAACCATAGATGAAAATAACTATTTTATAAATAACAACACAGTTTTAAGTAATATAAAAACATTTTTCCAGTTAAATGAGACATGCTGTAGGCTTGGATATGTCCAAGAATGTAACTTCACTGTGTGATTATGTGGCAGCCTTTGGCCTAAGGCTAAATTGTGTGCATCTTGCCAGAATCAGCTGATGAGTACATGGAAAGCAGCCATCAACAGCTGCTCCACTCAGAATCAATGCAAGTTGTGTAGTGGGTGCAGCTGGGTACCTCCCATCTGTATCCACTGCCAGCTCAGCAGCACTTGGCTGAGCCAAATGGTTTGGAAATGTTGGAGTGTCACTACAGAGATCCCAGCAGAATCACAGAGTTGTAGAATGCCAGGTTGGAAGGGACCTCAAGGATCATCTGTTCCAACCTTTCTAGGTACTACTATGGTTTATGTGAGATGGCTCAGCACCCTGTCAAGCTGAGACTTACAACTGTCCAATGTGGGGGAATCTACCACTTCCCTCAGGAGACTATTCCAATGTTTGACTGTCCTCATGGTGAAAAATTTACCTCATCTCCAATTGGAATCTCCCCAGGAGCAACTTGTGCCCATTACCCCTTGTCTTTTCCACGTGACTCCTTGTAAATAGGGAGTGTCCATCTTTTTGGTAGCCACTCTTTAAGTACTGGGGCATGGTAATGAAGCCTCCCCTAAGCCTTATTTTCTGAACAAACCCAGTTTTCTCAGCCTCTCCTCATATGGAAGGTCCTCCAGTCCTCTGATCATCCTTGTGGCCCTTCTCTGGACCCTCCCCAGGCTGTCCCATCCTTCTTGTAGAGCAGGGACCAAAATTGAACACAATACTCCAGATGTGGTCTGACAGGTGCTGAGTAGAGTGGGATGATGACTTCCAGCAGAGGGTGGCACTCAGATGTCACAACATTACTCATCAGTATCATCTTGCAGCCCAGAAAAACAATCATAACCTGGGCTGCATCAAAAGGAGCACGGCTTGCAGGTGAGTGAAGGTGATTCCCCACCAGAAGTTGGGGGCTGCTAGGATATTTCTAAATTCTTTTTTATTTGCTGTCCTATGGTAAAGCCTTGCACAGCTCCTCTTGTCATGCTGAGTTTCAGAAGCATCTTGCAAGGTTTCACTCCCTCACGGTTGGCGCGGGCCGAGAGAGGCGTGAAAACGTGCGGGATAAACGGGAGAGAGACAGTCCCAGGACGTGTAACAGCACGTCCACTGGGCTTTCTGTGGTGGCAGGGCTTCGACCTGCGCCTGGAGCACACGCACTGCTTCAGCCAGCACGGGGAAGGAGGGCACTACCACCAGGACACCAGCCCGGACAGCGCGCAGTACCTGGGCTACCTGCTGCCCGCCGAGCTGCTCTTCCGCATCGACCGGCCCCCCGAGACGCACCTGGTCGGCAGGGACTGACACGGGGGGCTCAGCCCGCTCCTCCTCCCCATCCTCCTACGATGTAAATGCTGATTTTTGTAACGCTTGAATGATGCACGTTGATCAGTGAAGAATAAACACGGGAGCAGGGCCCTGCTGGCTGCCTCCTCCTGCTTACGTGCAGCCCAATGGATGGAATTGGGAAACCCACTGCAGTGTTACTTGTGTCTTTTGTGGCTATTTGGCTGGGCATCCTGTGTGGGCATAGCTGGTGACAGGGAACCAGGAGTGAATTTATGTTGGGAATGGGCAATTACCTCAGCTTCTGGCCAAAAACAAGGCTGTGAAAGCAAAGCAGTGATGTCCAGTGACAGGACAAGGGGCAGTGGGTGCAAACTGGAGCACAGGAGGTTCCATGTGAGTATCAGGAGAAACCTATTTACTGTGAGAGTGACAGAGCCCTGGAACAGGCTGCCCAGAGAGGCTGTAGAGTCTCCTTGGCTGGAGACATTCAGACCCCCCCGGACACGTTCCTGTGTGATGTGCTCTGGGTGACCCTGCCTGGCAGGGGGGTTGGGCTGGGGGAGCTTTCCAGGTCCCTTCCAACCCCTGGGATTCTGTGAAATCTGCAGCTCAGAGCTGCGCGGCCACCTCAGCGAGCAAACCCAACGGGGGTTTGCCCGGGGGAAGGGGCAGGACGGCAGCTCCGCGCTGCCCGCGCCCGCGGAACAG